TAGAAACAATTCTTTCTTTTCTTAGGTGGGGTGTTTTGAATTAGTTTTTTACTCTTCTTTTTTCTTCCTGAGGTAAGGATGTTGTTTGACATTGTTTTTTGATATTCTCAATACGCAGTGTTGTCAAGGAACCAAGAGTCTATGCTAGCTATGTCCCTGGTCACAGATAATAGCATATGAGTTTTTACTAGAAGACAATAGATGTAAGCGAACATTGCTTCCATGCCACCTTCTACTGCTTCATGTGAATGAGTTCGTCCCTCTACGCCTGCCCGCACACAATCTTCCTGCTGCAAAACAGAGACGATGGAACTGTCGCATTTTGTGATTTCTGAGTTCTCTTCTTGTGGCAAAATCAAAGAGATATTTTATTGTTTGGGGAATCTCGCTCATTTTTGGGGTATTTCATGTGCCACTGAACTGGTTGGTAGAGAGTCTTTACCCACGAACCCGTGAAGGAGGATGGCTCCAAGGATCATCGTAGCGCCCTGGAAACCATACTCGTCCTGTAGGTGCTCGATGAGAAGAGGACCCATGAAATTACCTAGCCCGATGCCAGCTGTCATACAGGTGTTTGCTAAGCCACGGTGTTTGTCAAAGTACTGAGCAATATTTAGGAAGCCCACACATGTTAGTCCACTTCCCAGACCTGGAAGATCACAAACTTTTGTTATAAACAACTTGGTGAATTTTACACTGTTAACTCTCAATTATGCGTCTATAAGAAAAATTCACGTTACAGTTCCTTGACTGGAATAATTCTCAAAAACCCACAAACTGAAATTAAACTAGACCCTTACGCCGGCCGACTGGGCTGCAATAAGCTGTATACAAGAAATCAGATACTCTGATCTCTGATATAGAGATTAAAGTTAACTCACAGAGCATTACACCAATATACATACACTTATCACTGAATATATCCTTGGGAATAAAATTAATTCAGTAAAATAATATAGTATGCTACTGACCACTCCGAGTGAGAAAAACACGAAGAGGAGCACAGGAGAGGTGGCGAAGGCGCTGAAGGTGAGGCAGGAGGCATTGAGCAGTGACCCCGTCATGGCCACCTTCCTGAAGCCAAACTCTCGTGCCAGGGAGCCCACGATGACACCAGTCAGCTTCCATACTACCATGTAGGCGCTGTAGATGACAGCGACGGTGGTGCTGGACACTCGCCACTCCAGAAGTTGAGGAGAGAACAGAATACCGAAGGACGGGGACAACATCGGTATAGTTAACTGCAACAATGTTATCTGTACATAGCTAGACGTCTTACAGTCGATGTGCGATCCAAGACAGGTATCCCCGTGTCCCATAATCCCAGTTCCCTTTACCTCAGTGATCCAAGAAAGGAATTAAGTATTACGTTACCCCTTATCCCTGTACCTCAATACACACATTTTATATATTACATTTATTAGTATTGTAACTTCCGTCAGGAAATGTCTTGACACGGGTCTTAGACTTTCGACGACCCGATTTGTTGGTCAGATTTGTAAATGAAAATACCTTGATGTAGAATACTACTGACCACATCCAGGTGGAAATAAGAGTTAATTTATACACCCAATGTGGAAAATTTTGGATTTTCCTAAATTCAGTATGTGTAAATTTGAATAATATAATAATCGTGTATTAAAATGTGATCCTGATTTGACCCTTTGAGAAATTTCGAATGAAGGGGGAATGTGGAACAGCCGCAAAGTGGATGGGGAGGACACCCAGTGAAACTGAATGTATGAACTCTGGTCTGTTAGTAGTGTAATGTAATCAGGCGTCATCAAAGTTAATCTGGTGTATACTGGTCTCAGTCTGTAATTTAGAAATTTCCGACACGTTCCCACTGAAGAATTGGGATAAATAGTGTGGAAAACCCTTACAATTCAGCAACAAGGACGGAAAAATAGAGAACTCCAATTCTTCCCAGCAGCATCCCTTAGCTAAGTGATGCTTACCCATAACGTATAGTAGTTTTGCGGTGGCCATCGTAAACTCTAGCTGTTAGGGTAGCGTTAGCGTGTGTTACACAAATAATTGTGATCCAGTAATTAAATGGTAAGTGGTAAAACGAATTTCTTTCCTAATAACACTATTGCATTACATGTATTGTACTAATAGTTATATTTTGTGTACCCAGCAAGTAAACCAAAATATACAGTCCACATAATTTGAATTTACCAGAGTAGCTGGTTTTAATTTTGCAATTATTAATTTAATGTCAGGTTTAGCATTTTGTGAGTGGTGATGGAGTGGGCGTCGAGGGAGTGACAGTTCTGTGACCTACTGTGACTAAGTCTCGCTTACCTTACCCAAATTACTTGCACGTAATAATTTAGGTAATACCCTATAAACCTCCTGCAGGTAATTTCTAACATAATAATTCATACCCAAATTCTTAAAACTTCCATTAAAATTCAGTCTCTTTAACTTGTAATGTTTTGCCTTAGCCCTGTATAGTAAGCAAAGGATCTATTCTCGGTTATCCAAGGGAATTAATTATAATGGAACTCCAAGAATAACCAGGAGAGCGTACAAACTCTAAATAAATATTTATAAATGTTTCTGCAAAATCGATATATGTATTTTTTTGTTACTCACCGCATTTAAGAAGGCGCCCACAGTTATCATCCAGCCCCAGCCTCCGTCAGGAGGTCGAAGACCCTCCTGCTGGTGCTGATCCTGCAGGCACTGCACATCCTGTTGCTGCTGTTTCTCCTGTGGCTGGTCTGTCTCCTGTTCCTGCTGCTGCTGTTTTTGCATCCGTTGCACCCCTAGGTGCTGTTGGCTCTCCTCGTCAGCAGCTGTTCTGAGGTCCTCTTTGCTGCTGTGCCGATGATCGTCCGTCACTCTTGCCTTGTCTGACGAAGACTCCATGGAGATGGGAGCCATAGTCATGCGAGGAGGTTATCACCTACCCACTAATAACTCCCCAAAACGTTCACTACATTAACATCTCAAGCCACAAACAGTACTCTCGCTCTTGCTACATATTCCACTCGTAACATGAAAAAAAAAGCTCATTAACTGGGAAAAATAGCTAAGACACTGTCGCTGGGTTACTTAACTAACAACAGACTAAATACCGCCACGACCTACGCAAGATAACTCATGTATCAGCCACTCAAGATTACTAATATAAATGCCTTCTGCTTATGTTTTGATTACCGATTAAATATTCCATTCGTCATCGTTTACTGGTAATTTCTTGTAATCTCAGTACTATGTTACTGTAATTTAATCTTGGATAATTAAATTCCGAATTATCACAGACGGGGTGGCAGAAGTGGGTTATCTAATTGGCTTCAGGAAGAAATCCAAATAATTTTCCTCCAAGCCTTCTTCATATATATATATATATATATATATATATATATATATTTATATATATATATATATATATATATATATATATATATTCTATATATATATATATAATATGCAAAACAACAATAGGAGAGTCTGCAACCATTGCAACCAACTCTGTAGACACTACTAGCACGTTGTTGGGGTGCATTCTTTATCAGGATGCTGCACACGAGAATCACTCCCTATAAAAGCAAAAGACTCGGCAGGAGATGCAACATTCCCCCAATGAAAAGGAGGGGCGCCACGAGTACATTGAGAGACAACACAACAAGTGTCCAGGGTCCAAGACCGTTCAACTGACTGCCAGCATATATAAGGGGAATTACCAACAGACCCCTGGCTGTCTTCAAAAAGGCACTGGGCAGGCGCCAAAAGTCAGTACCTGACCAGCCGGGCTGTGGTTCGTACGTCAGCTTACGTGCGGCCAGTAGTAACAGCCTGGTTGATCTGACCTTGATCCACCGTGAGGCTTGGTCTCAGACCGAGCCGCGGGGGCGTTGACCCCCGAAACCTTCCCCAGGTAAACCGTCCGTGAATATTGAGCAGTTATATCATTTTTTTTTATATTTTATTTAAAACATTATCAAACAGAAACATAATATATAACACATCACAACCCCTTGTCAAACAGGTATACAATAAGGACTTCATAATCACAGTACATCATGTAAATTGTGCGGCTACTCACATTATTATTATTATAATCAAGGGGAAGCGCTAAACCCGGAGGATTATACAGCGCCTGGGGGAAGGGGTGTGGAAGGCATTCAGGCTTAATTCGGGGAACTGGAGCACAGATCCAATTTCCTAAATCAAGAGCCCCTCACCAACATCAAGGAACCTTCCTTGAGGGGGCGGCTACTCACAGTCGCTATATACACTTCAAGCCGACTAGTAATGTTTATAATCCACATAAAAGGACACATCACTTAATAGGTTTATGGCCCAATATGTCATCCTACCACAAAAATACACCAAAATACATGCTATATGAAATCATATACCCCTACCTCCAACACCACAATAGATCCGAAATAATCACATAGCTCGACCTATAGTATATATGTTTAGGAACATAAACAGTACTTCTGTTTTAAAATAATGTACGACATGCAACCATTACGACACCTAATTAACAATAACGTCTGTGCTCACAGCACATCATATCGTACTAGTTTACCAGATCTTCATGAGACCCACCTACCACCCGCACACAGGTGGGTGTGTTAAAATTTAACAGAAATAGACAGTTACCTAAACACTGGTCAAAGGACAATGCAAACACCACCACCACCAGGTTTCCACCTCGGGGAGAACCAAAATCAACTGTACATAGGCTGTATTAATAAAATATAGTGATGATCAAACTTAACGGGTCCCTAAATAAAATATATTCGTTCACACCCAAAATTTAATAGAAGAAAAACTGATGCCAACAATAGTTTAAGAAAACGAATTTAATATGCTAGACTATTATATATCACCCGATTTTTTTTTCTTTTAAATTTAAGTTTGGTAAATTTGTATTTAGGTCTTTCATAATCTTAAATATTTACAATAGTTGTTTATAGTAAATTGTTAAGAGTTTAACCCCTGATATCGATCTGGTTATCTCCACTAACCTTAGTATTTTATAATCTCCTCTCTTGATAACGAGTGTACTTTATCAATCCTACAAGCTGCTAAGAGAACACTTGGTCTCCACCTTCCAACACCCTCACTCACTACTGCTATTTCTACACTACCTCGTACCTCTACCTCACAGCCACACAATATCTTTCCCGAGTTGTTCATAATTAGCTTTCTTTTGATTTGTATGACTTTAAAAGAATAGTTACTTAATCTCACCGAGTTTAATTCTTTCCTAGTCAAATCGCATGTGGTTAGGTTGTCTTAAGTCCTCTAATTATTGGTTTTAACCTTGACAGTTTAGAAGACAAAATCAGTACTAATCGGTACTTGGGAAGACTTGATTCTGCCCAACCTGAACAATTTATTTCTGAAGGACATTAACTCTTTTGCAGGGAGTTTGATGGACCTGTGATCAATAAACAGTCTGTCACGAATTGAACTGAAGAATATTATTTAATATACTTTTCAAAGAATCCTGGACTCTCATCAGCACGCCCTGGCATGGTTGTCATTCCTCTGTCAGAGTGAACACGATTTAGATGCTGTCAGCTTTCGTCCAGCTTAGCATATTATATGGATATAATTAATGCAACATGTATTCTTTACATAAACATTCACATCACCTGACGTGATATTTAAGTTCTTGGGGGAACCGAAGCCAGCGGAATACATTGGTCATAGTACCAAGCTCCAGTTTGTTGGTAATGGCACCCACGCACATGTATCCATATTCATGATTATTCAATTTACAATATAATAAGATTTAAAAGAGTTCACACGAGGGAAGCATCCGCCTTCTCCCTATCTCTTTCCTTAGGCGTTGGTCGTAGGCCTGGGCGGCAGGCATGAATAACCAGAGGATGCAGCTGGTGAAGATCATAGCAGACAGCACCCACATTGTGATAATGTAGCTACCGCTGGCGTCACGAACCACACCTGAGGAAGGTAAACTAGGGGTTACAGAAAGACATAAATCACCCTAACAATGATGATGGAGGGGTAAGCCAGTGGAAGGCTCCAGCTGAGGGTTATCATATGTGAAAATTTGTCTGGACTGCTTCCATGTGAGTTGTCTACCCTGGCAAGCTCTGTTGACACCGAGCCCTGAGGTCGGTACCTCAGCCTCACAAGTGGCTTATAGGACAGATTTCATAAATGACTGATGTTGCAAGAAACCTCACCTGCATGCACGTATAAAGGACTAACTTACTTGGTGTTGGAGAATCTATTCTGGTCTTCAACCTCCCTAAGCTTTAGCCCCATGGACTTCCCCTCAGAACCACGTCCAACCGGGAGCCTTAATTCCTGCAATATTCATTCGTTATAGTGACCTGCCTGCACCTCAGAAATTCCTATTTCCAAGGGGGGTGTAATCCCCTAGACTAACTATGCAGAGAGTGACACTAGCTTCTAGGCTGACAAGAGACACCGGTATATACTGGTCATGAACTGCCGGCTGCACAGAGGCCACAACACGACTCACTCGCAATTTTCCCAGACACTGGCCAGGATCCTAAGAAAAAAGGGAGGTCTTGTCTTACTGTATGGGCCTGATGGAGGAGGACATCTACAGTGCGTTGAGGTGCCTCCCAGATTTCCCAGATCTAGTATGTGAAGACACGTGGGGGGTGCCGCCTGTGATCACGGCACTTGCTGCTTACTCCGATACGGTAAACACCAGGAATCAAAACTTCATCAGAGTAACAAAACAATTCCCGCCACAAAACAGAGCGAAAAACCAACGTCAAAGACCTGGGAGTGATCATTTTGGAGGATCTCCCCCTTCAAGGACTTAACATTATAACAATTGCAGCTGCTAGAAAAATGACAGGATGGATAATAAAAACCTTCAAACTAGGGATGCCAAGCCCATGAAAGACACTCTTCAGGTCGCTTGTTCTATCAGGCTGGAATATTGCTGCACACTAACAGCACCTTTCAAGGCAAGTGAAATTTCTGACCTAGAAAATTTTACGGAGAATCTTCACAGCGCACATAACGGAGATAAAACCCTCAATTACTGGGGGGCTTAAAGTTTTCCTGAACCTGTATTCCTGGTATGCAGGCGGGAGAGATACAGATTATATACACCCGGAAAATCCAGAGGATAGTACCGAAATTGCACACAAAAAACACTCACAAAAAAAAGCAAAAGACTTGGGAGCGATGCAAAATCCCCCCCAAAGAAAAGCGGGGGGTCACTAGACATTAAGAGACCAAACAATAATGTCAGGGGCCCCAAGACGTTCCCCTTCCCCCCGCATACATAAGGGGGATTACCAATAGACCCCCGGGAGTCTTCAAGCTGGCATGGACAAACGCCTAAAATCAGTACCTGCCCCCGTGCTGTGGCTCGTACGTTGGATTTTGTGCAGCCAGCATAACGCCTGGTTGATCAGTCTCTGACCCCAGGAGGGCCCTTTTCACAGACTGGGCCCCAGGGGGGTTTACCCCCGGAACTCTCTCCAGGTAAACTCCAGGGAAACAATGGTGTCTAGTCTTGAAAAAAGCACGGCAGTCTCAATGCACTGCATCCCAATTAAAACTTGGCTTGCCAGTTTCCCTGGCTAACATAACCTATGTTTGCCACATTAACGGCCTATTTTCCACATTAAAAGGTCTTAGGGCTACATTATTATTTTCTACAGTTGCCTCAATAATCCTAATATTAGCATACTAAAAGATAAACTACCTACTTTTTCCTGAAGGGGAAATTAAACAAATTTAAGAAATACCTTTCCAACCACCTTGCCAATAAACTTACGCTTAACACTGACAAAACTTACTATTTATGTTTGTACAGAGCAGGGAAAGCACAAATTTAAAATTAAGTTGCAAACTCTAATTACAGAAATAAGGGGGAAAAATTTCCCCTGGGTTTAAACCCTTGACAACCCCTGAATTTCAGCCCCCAACCACATATAAAAAAAAAGTATCCAAAAGTTGGGACCCCTCTCCAAGAACGATAAACGTGCCGAAAAATCCCCTTTCTCCACTATCCCATCATTATTTATCCAACCTCCCCTTGCTATTTGTGTTTGGGGATCAACTGCGAAACACCTAAAAAATAAAAACCCAACAAAAACTGCTAAAATAATCATAAACCCACCCCTGGCAGAAACCCCCCCCCTCTTTAAAAATCTAAACTTACTCCCATTTTAGTACATCCACACTACTACTGTGAATCTATATCACAGGCCTTAAAATCTAATATCAACCTTGACCTAAAAAGCTTTCTTGATAGTTGTGACAGAACCCACGGGTAAAAAACCCAAAACAAAAAATATCACGACATTCCCCGTGCGACTAAACCCTTTTCAAAAATTAATGTATGTCAAAGGCCCCAAAATCTGAATCCCTACCCAGAACTCTAGAACTGCGACAATTTATCACCCTTTAAAACTACCATTAGAAAACTCTTTTTCTCCCCGATACACCCCCTCAACTAACTACACGAATACCACCTGGGGTTCAACTTACCTCGCTCACTATTTGACCATAAACAAAATTTAAACTCAATCAAAATAATGAATCCCGTGATACTCCAATACTGAAACTATATAGGCCAAAACAAAAAAATTCACATTGCTAAAATCATTAAATAGTATTTAGTCACTTACCTAAGACCAACTTACCCCATAATTTGTAATATTTTACAATTTAAAAATAAAACTAATAGGCCCCAAAGCCTAGCCATGCTAAGCGTTCAGTGGTACATCTGTAACACATTTACTACATGTAAACTAAATTACCAAATTTCTGTAAACTCAGTTTTCCTATTAAGAATAAACTTGAATTTGAATTTGAATGAACCCCCGGGTGTGTGTGTGTTTTGGTTGGGTTTAAGGGCCACCCTATCCAGCTGTTCCTTACACGGCCATGCTGGGATCTTTGTACGCCGTATCTGTCCTGTGGAACTTTAGGGACCGAATAAATTTCCACATCATATAACTAAGACCCGCGTCAGGAAACACTTGTCTTGTTTTCTAACAAACCTTTAGTAACATGACAGAGAATCACCAAACAGCATTGTAGTTGTTTGTTGTCAGGAAACGGGATGTCTACCGTCTCTTAGGTTTTCACCCCATATATAAGACAAAGAATTACCACGTAGTGTTCTAAGATGGTTCCAGACGTAGGAACCCATCTGTCACTCGACCAATTTACACTCTTCCTGTCACGAAAGTGACTGTAATGAAGAAGAAGAGGTAATAGTAGTAGTAATCAAATAAGAATATACATAAAACAATGAACATATGTTTAAAAAAGATCTTAAAAAGAAAATAAAATCGACTGACCGATCAAGGGACCAATAGTGAAGAACCCGAAGGCCATCATGAAATTCCTGGCCCCGAACATTATTTGCCGGGGGAAGGAAACCCGGAGGATATCCTGCCATGGAAGGGGGGTTGCTTCAGGCTAATTGGGAAGGAGCCTGATCAATCCCAACAAAACCATCACTCCATCAGCAAACCACCCCTCCTGCGTGTTTAAAGACGACCACCAAGAGGTTCAACCCTAAAGACTCTAATAAACATACTCCAGTGTCCCTGCGAGAATACTAAAAATTTAAAACTCATATTTGTCCTCGAAAATTTGAAATTTTAAAAAAATAACTTAAATAATCTAACCTTTCATGGAACTAAGTCCCAAAAGAGTTTACTGAAGTACATCTGGATTTACTATCTACATTTATATTTATATCTGCCTTTTAAGTGAACTATAAATAAAAATCCAGATGAACTCCTGTAAATCTTTCTGGGGCCTAGTTTCTAGGCCTTTTGCGCATCCATATGTTCTTGTGCTGCCGTCCACAGGATAGAGACGGGGCACACAATAAACTAGCAGCATTAGTGGCAAAATCTAATCAGAGGATAAAAAAAAAGGAGAAAACTTACCAATGATTGCGGTGCTCATGGTAGCCAGTCCTATCAAATAACAGAGTCTCATGCTGAACCAAGAATAGTCAGAAAGGAAGGAGACGGTTAGTCTGGAGAAGAAGTTACATATTCCGGCCACGGAGAGGCACCAGGCGGCTGTCTGCAGCGAGTATCCTGCTGCTTGTATAGTAAAAGGCACCAGTACGTTGAAGTTTGCTTCTCCTCCAACATTCAGCATGATTTCCAGGGCTAAAATTAAGGCGGGAGGATGTCTTAGAATAGTCATGTCTTTGACAATGCCACGAAGGACCCGTAAAATGGTACTGAAAAGTTTACAGAAACAATCCTGACTTTTTTTCTTAGGTAAAGATGTTGTGTTGAAGTTAATTTTTGTTACATCTTCATTATTTTCTTCCTGAGGTAAGGATGTTGTCTTGACATTGTTTTTTGATAGATTCTCAATACGCAGTGTTGTCAAGGAACCAACAAGTCTATGCTAGCTATGTCCCGGTCACAGATAATAGCATATGAGTTTTTACTAGAAGCAATAGATGTAAGCGAACATTGGCTTCCATGCCACCTTCTACTGCCTTCATGTGAATGAGTTCGTCCCTCTACGCCTGACCGCACACAATCTTCCTGCTGCAAAACAGAGACGATGGAACTATCGCATTTTGTGATTTCTGAGTTCTCTTCTTGTGGCAAAATCAAAGAGACATTTTCATTGTTTGGGGAATCTCGCTCACGTTTGGGTATTTCATGTGCCACTGAACTGGTTGGTAGAGAGTCGTACCCACGAACCCGTGAAGGAGGATGGCTCCAAGGATCATCGTAGCGCCCTGGAAACTATATTCGTCCTGTAGGTGCTCGATGAGAAGAGGACCCATGAAATTACCTAGCCCGATGCCAGATGTCATAAAGGTGTTTGCTAAGCCACGGTGTTTGTCAAAATACTGAGCAATTTTTAGGAAGCCCACACTCGTTAGTCCACTTCCCAGACCTGGAAGATCACAAAACTTTAGTTATAAACAACTTGGTGAATTTAACACTGTTAACTCTCAATTATGCTCTATAAGAAAAATTTAAGTTTCAGTTC